GTTTACACCAGCATGTTTCGCGCTGACCAGTGGCACGGCGCCACGCTAACACACTTCCCACCAAGGCCGCGCAACTCCCAATGGCTGCAATATCACGAACAGGGCTCGTGGCAGGCGCAGCACTTTGTGCGCACTGGAACTGCAGATTTCATGGCAGGCGCAGCACTTCGTGAACCTCGAAGTGCAGATTGCGTGAACCTCTGTCTATAAGCGCAGACTTCGTGGCAAGCGCAGCGATTGCGAACCTCGAAGTGCAGATTGCGTGAACCTCTGTCTATAAGCGCAGACTTCGTGGCAAGCGCAGCGATTGCGAACCTTGAAGTGCAGTTTGCGTGGCGTTTGCAAAATTCTGCGGGTTTCAAGACCTGTGAAAAGAGCTTTTGATATCTCTGGATCTGAACATCTTTGTACACCCTCTGCAAGTCTAGACCCTAGAACTTAGATTTCAACACCTCCCTGGATCTCAAGACTCAAGACCTCTAAACCTCCATCTTTAGGTCTGTGGGTTTCTAGGCCTCTACACCTGCAGATCCGTCTGGATCTCCAGGCCTCTGGATCTTTGTAGATGTAGATGGACCTGGGCCTCTCTGCATCTCAACCGTGATCTCTCTGGATTCACGATGGCTCACAAAACCACAAGACCTGTGGATTGCTCACAAAAGGTCTGCTATGTTGGAATGGCACCTTCCTCCTCTAAAGTTTATGCTGACAACAGGTCTGCTCCTGTAAATTTTGCCCTCGCATGGCTCACAAAAGGTCTACTGCTCCTCTAAATCTTGCTCACAAAAGGTCTGCTACCTTGGCGTGGCACCAAAAGTTTGTCCCCGGTGGCTCACCAAAGGTCTGCTACGTTGGAATAGCAAGTTCTACCCTCGGGTTGCTCACAAAACAGAGGCCTGCTACGTTGGTATGGCAACTTCTTCCTCTAAGTTTAAACCTTGCAAGGCTAACAAAAGGTCTGCAACGTTGGAATGGCTCCTTCCTCTTCAAAATGTTGCCCTCAGGTGGCTCACAAAAGGTTTGCTACCTTGGAATGAC